TATAGAAAAATTTTTAAAAATTGGTATTAATTTTAGTCTTAATGTTATGTATTAATTTAACTAATTAATTATTAAAATTAAAGTCAATTTTTTTTTGTAACTTAATTGTTAAAATTTGTCCATTACCTATTTTCAAAAAAAATTGTTAAAATGTGCATTAACTACCCATTAAAAAAAAACCTTTTATTGTATTTCATATAACACCTTGTTAAAATGTCAATTTATAATAAGAGAATCTGTTAAAAAAAAAAAAAAAACCTTAGCCCATCTTTCTTCTCTTTTCTTAGACGACAAGCTTCTTAAAATTTTCCTAGATATGCTCTATCACCTTGAAATTTGTGTTGTCATTCTATTTCCAAGTTTTTTTATTTTTTGTAATTTTAAATTAGAATCTTTATTCTCATTGGGTTTTTAATTGAGGTTTCATTGCAATTGATTGATTTATATAATGTGTGGTGTTTATCAATCATATTTCTCAAATAGATCTAAAAATTAAACATGACACAACAATAAGTGATTTTTCTTAAATAGTCTCATCATTAGTTGCCAATGTTGATTTTCTTAGAGATTGCATAAAGGTTGAACTAGGAATAGTAATTTTCTCCATGACTCGCAGAGCTATGTGAGGACCTCAATCGTCAGAATGGAATTTCAAAATATTCCTCTTCAAAGGGCAAGAATGGAGGTGATTTTTTTTGCAAAATTTTGTGAGAAATTTTTCCTATCCATAGATCCCTGCAAATAGTCGTAAACTAATAAAAAAATTGAAAATTTATATTTTATAAATTATAATAAATTCAAATATTTTAATTCTCAAACTTACAAATTTTAATTATAAACACTTTGACTCTCGTATCTTTTCTCTCTACTGCTTTAGTTCCTCCCAACTTCACTTCTTTGTTTAATAGATTTCTTTTAATTTGCATTTAGCTTACTTTATTGATTTATTTTTTTTGTTAGGCAAAACTTACTTTACTTTATTTAATTTGATTCATTTTCTAGAAAAAAAAAATTACTTAGAAATAACTAGTTTTTTTATAATGCTTTTGGATTTTTTTTTTAAGGCTAAGAAATGAATGAATCAAAATATTTTTGTATACTTTCATTGGGTTCCTATACGGCGGTGAATCCCATAGAGATGAAGGGCATTTTTTACCCTCTATCAACAATCTTTGCAAAAATTCCTATATTTGTCAATGGTGGGGATAGGGATGACGAGGGGTTCCTACCCTATGGGAA